ATTTATTTAATGAAATATATATGTATTACAGCATATTCTTTCCGTTTATCCCTCCCCCCCAATTATTCATTGTGGCACATTTTCCTCCCTGCCCACCCCTCCCTTCCAGTTCATTTTTCTCTTTGAAAAGAAAATAAATTTTTTTTAATTGTTACAGAATTTCCCCCACACCAGTCCACAGTCCACTTTACTCTGCATTTCTTTTTCTGGAGTCTTGTCTTGAAAATAATATCTAATCCTAGAAAATTTGATTCCCACCACAAAGCTGAGAGCGTGTGAGAAAATGCTTGCTATTTCTGGGTGAGCAGGGGGGATTGGAGCAGAAGGAAGAACCAGAAGAGGCTCTTTGGGGGATCTGAGTCATGGATTTGCCAGGTGGAAAGTTTTACACCCAAGCAAACACATGTCTTTATTTACGTTGATTCTGACTCATTGCCAGCAAATCTTTCTCGGAGGAAGTGGAACCAGGGAGCTGGCTCCCCAGAGGCCAGGGCAGGGAGACCTGGTCTCACGAACTATGGACATGTGGTCAGTAGGGACCAGTCCTTGGAGAAGGACATCTTGCTGGGGAAAGGTGGAGGGTCAGGGACAGAGAGGATGGGCTGCAGCTTGACCTGTAATTATCTTGGTGGCATCATTTAACAGCAGCAGCCTGTATTGTTATTTTTTGCTATTTGTCTCTGAGCAAAACAAACAAAAAATTCTTTCATTCTTATGCAATCCCTCTCTCCAAGACCACTCCACTTTGCCGCCTTCACTCTGGACTCCCGTCATGACAAAAATACCTAATCACATATCCCTTTTAAACAGTTTTCTCCCTCATCTGCTTCCATGCAGTAAACATTATTAAACCCATTTTTCTCAGTCTCCCCCCACCAACCCCAATGTCAGTCCTGTTTTACAACAGTGGTCCTATACAGTATTTGTCCTTTTGTGACTGAGATATTTCACTCAGCATCATGTCCTCCAGGGTCACCCTTTTTGTATAATATAGCATGAGTTCCTTGTTTTTCTATGCAGCGTAGTATTCCATTGTGTGAATAGACCACAGCTTCTCTATCCAATCCTTTGTTGATGGGCACTTGGGCGGTTTCCAACTCTTTGGCTATTGTGAACAAAGCTGCGATAAACATGGGTGTGCACATACTGCTTGGATGTCAGTTTTGTTCTCTCTGGGGTAGTTTCCATGTAGTGGAATTGCTGGGTCAAATGATATTTCTATTTCAGGCTTTTTGAGAAAGTGCCGTACTGCCTTCCATAGTGGTTGCACCATTCGACACTCCCACCAACAGTGAATAAGGGCTCCCGTTTCCCCACAACCTTGCCTTTCTTCTGTTTGTGGTCAGGAGGGCGTGGGGAACAGGCATGACCTCCACTCACAAGCCCCCTCCCAGAAGACATAGATGGCACAGAGACCCAGCCCACTCACATGGACACCCAGGCCCGCCACCACCACGAGATGGACAGCCCTGCATGCACATGGACACACAGAACCTGCCTTTCTCTCTGCATCTCAGTCCCCATCCCACAATGGCCACTTTGGGCCAATAATGTCTACACTCTTTATGTCAGAAGGGATGGGGGGGGGGGGCGGGGAATAATGAAACAAGGCAAAACCAGAAGAAGGAAAAGTGATTTTGTTCAACAAGGGAACCTGCTCTGTGCTCAGTTCCCTAAAAAGAGGTGACTCATTCTGGTTTCTGTGGCCGAGACTTCCACCTTTTCCCAGGTCACAGCAATTCACCCACACCCTGCCACGTGAGGCTGTCCCCAGCTAGGACAAGACCAGGGAGAAGCCAGGCAAAGGGCCGCTGTGTACCACGGGACCACCAGCACCCACTTTTTATACACAGAACGTCTCTGCTGCCTTTGTAGGAAGGAGCTGAGCTGTCAGACCTGACATAGGAGGTTCAAATCCAGCAGCTGCCCCCAGGGGAGAAGGATGGGCTCTCTCCTTCCATGTGATTTACAGCCTCTGAAAACACCCAGGAGTGAACTTGGTGGGGAGAGGTGGGCAGGGAGAAAAGTGTAACAATGAATGAATGCAAATTCAAAGTCTCTAAACTCTTAATAATAATAGTA